TTGGCTATTGGCTAATGGCAAATTACGCAATTGAAAATTTTAGCTTCAACGTCCAGTCCTGAAAAATATGCGATATTTTTTGGAAAAACAATCTTACTGCCCAGCAAATTGAAGCGCTCCTTTCTCTTGGTTTTTTCTGATTTTCGCTCATTATTTGGACCTAGAACTGCAAGTCCATCAAGTGACTTCGCTTCCTATATAACTGAATATTGGACTCGGGCTATTTCTCGAAATGAACTGCTAATGTTCGCCATTACAATGAAATTTGTGAAGCAAAAACGAATATTCCAACTTTAAGCGGCTGCAAAACAATTTTGTCAACAGCCACAAATAGTACCTTGATAGATCCATATGGCCTAATTAAAAGCGTACGTATTACGAAACAAAGCACTTGACGCTGAATGGAATGCGGGCTTTGTCATTTCATTACATGTCTTGACTGGACTCGATTCTAAAAACAACCCCGATTGACGCATAGTAAAAACCAGAATGTGATAAGCAAACGATTTGTCCACGAGTTTCTTCATTCGGATGTAAACTCGTGGTTTTTCTCTTGAAAATGTTACTTCTTCTGACGAAACGTCTCATTAGATACGCTAAAAATTACTAATTTTCGACTTCCATCTTGCGACCATTTCCTGTGAATATTAAGTTTTAATCGAAATTGAATGCCTGTCAGCTGCGAACTGAATAGAATGGTTTAAATTTGCTGAAAAGATTAAGAAAGTTGTGTTAAGAAGTTCAGTTAATCCTTCCACCCTGCCACTAGAAGAAGACTAGTTTTGAAAAAACGGATGTGAGTTTTCTTTGTTCCGACTTGTTAAGTTCTTGATTGCTGCTTTGCTGTAAGAAATTACCAACACCTAACGGATATATTGAAGTCTTACTTCTATGAAAACTACTGATTAATTACTATTGCCTGGTAGCGTTCTTCTTCTTCTTCGAACATCTTCTCGGCAATAACAAAAAAACCTGAACAAAACCAACGACTTTCAGAGCTTCAAAATACCCATTAAGATGTCCAAAATAATCTTGGCAGCAAATGGGCAAAACGGGGTTTAAATGCTGCAAAAATCAATAGATGAGATGCATGCAACCTCCGGACATTGCGTTTTTACCTGACAGTGGAGAAGTGCTGCACAACACGAAGACGTGGGTGGCATGGATAGGATAGAATGATCACACGGTCGCGCGTTGAGAAATTTGAATATCTGGTAGAACTTGAGAGAAGTTTTGAAAATCGACGTAGTTTCGGGGAATTCTGTCCGCATAAGTGTTATACTTGAGCCTGGTTGGAGCTGATGCGCACATTGAATGGCATTTTGACTATTAAAATGGTCGATTCCGAATATAAAACTAAAATAAAAAGTTAATACTACACTAAGAAAAAGTGCTGCTGTATGGACAAGTTAAAATTGTTAGTAATAACTAGGACGGTACCTTTTGTAAGCTGCGAGATCCATTTCAAAACGTAATAAAAATGGCAAGTAAAAACATACGGGTTTATTTCATTGAGTTCCTACTACACTGCTCCCAGTGAGATTAAATGGAAAGTTGCTATGGAATAAAATGTTTCATTTCGACAAATTACATCACTGCAGGCAGGTCTCCCGACTATACGGATCGGACACTCATTAGACCTGAGAAAAGATTTTAGCATAAGACTATATACAAGTATGGAGCTCATTTCGAAGTAGTTTTAAATAATTCATTAATTAGTACCTAGTCAGTTTTCGCAGCTCAAAAAATTAAGTCAACACAACTACTGCAAGGAGTTCAACAGTTCCCTAATAAAAGCGATCAGTACCTGTTAAATTGCATTTCTTATCCAAAACTTCAGGAACAGGGAAGAAGTTTGGACAATCCGCATCCACGGCGACGATCAAGTTGTGTTAGCATACGTAATGAATAACAGGAACTTTATGCGTGGATTTCTTTATGTGAAGGTACCGGATCCAACATAGCAACGCCCTTTTCAAATTAATCAGTTATCCGCATCAATGTTACCGTAAGTCCATTTTTTTCGAACGAGCCTTTTGCCCTCTACTTGTTCGTTACAATGGTTTTTCATGGCTGTGAACGGTTCCCTGGTATTGTCCAAGCTGTCGACTGAACTTGTCAATACCACTAAGGAAACCTATGGAAATAGCATAATTGCAAACATTAAAAACAGACTTTTTGGGGGGCTTGAAACAACTGTTCATGTGAAAGTAGTGTTGGCACATATTTAATCACCACTGCAATGCTTTGCGCAGTTTAATGGCTAAAAGAGTCGGTCTGATAGCATTTAGCTAACGCCAGATTTCCAAAGACATTTTCGATGCTGTGCTGCATTATCAAGCGAAAACTAAAAAATTTGAACATTTCAGTAAACAAGGCAAGAAGAGCGAACAACTCGCGACCCAGCCAGTTTCTCCTGAAAATAGAATGCTTTCACTCAAATAATATGCACTTCATGCAAAAACTGTCCTGAAAAATCTGGGTAATAATATGGTTTGGACCCTTCTGGACTTCGATAATAAGTCGCGTCTAAACGAATTGAAATTTTGTCATAGAACTTTCGGGTGTTGGAAACGTGGCCACTAAGAGAAAAAGTGTTAGTAATTGGCTAATCTACAGGGTAAGTAACTTCTTATTATCGCAATCCAGAAGAAGCCAAACCAGATAATTACGAAAATCTAAGTTATCAGACCTCAAAGTAACTACCAAGAAATTCAGAAGTTAGTTTACCATTTTATTGTTCCGTACACGTGTCTACTAGAGCACAGAGAAGCTGGATGGACATTCACCCCAGTAAACGGATGCTTCTTTCGAAACTCGCAGGATTGACAATACACCATGTGGTGCCTGCTACCACTTTGCTGGAGACCTTCATACATGTAAACGTAAATTAGATTAATACACAAAAGGACTGATTGGCAATAATAATCGGAAATAACTTAGTTTACAATTTATTTTAAAATTAATATCACTGTTGTTGGGGGTTATACAAAAGTTCAACGCTTATGCTACAAGGCTCTTAAAAGACTGTCTATATTTACAAACCAAATTAGCAGTTAATCCCTTGCATAGCGTGCCTGGTAGGCTGAATCCCACTGCAATAGAAAAATATACATAATATCACAGATACATTAAAACAGCCTTGGGTGGGAACACAACATGTGGTAGTTAACAATCAGTGAAAATCAGTCTTTTCGTGTCCTTGTACATTCATTCAAGTCGTGCATGAACCGATCCAGTTCAGCATTAACTTCCCTATAAATTTCAGAATCGAAATTTTGCTTTGGCTCAACGGGAACCTCCGAATTGACATTTTCAGATAAGCAATGTTGCCACTTGAGTCGCCTCTCTTCTTGTTTCCGTTGCAGTTCCCGTTTGGCGCAGGACAAAGCATGAGTTAAAACAGCATGAACGAAAAGATCTTTACGCCCCTGTTTTTGCAACTTGTTTTTCTTAACTTTAATAACTTTAATCCAGCCAGGTAATTCGTACGGGGCTCGATTTCGGTCAGCAACAACGCCCATAGTTAGACAAAATTAATTTGTCTGGTATACAGTTAAACACACCTGAATAAATATTCTGGCCTTTGGAGTTCTTCAGCTACTTGATGAATCACTTTCAGCACTAACCAAATGGCACATGTAGGTTTCTGAACACAAACTAAGCACGAACAAGCTTCCACATACAAAGGTTCACAACTGAATCGAACTGAATGACGCAGGAAAAGGTGCGGTGGGGGTTTTATAGACGGAGCTTTCAACACAACCGAAACGTACGCCCGCCGAAAAAAGTAGTCCCAACTAAATTGGGTATTTACCCAATCAATGTCTCGTTATTGCTTAATTTTTTGGAGTCAGACACAGAATAACTCGATTGTCTTCCAAACAGTAGCGAAATATTTAGTAACTAATAACTAAAAGTGATTTTGGCGAAAAATAATTGAAGACGTTTATAATCGTTTGACTGGCGAGGGACAAAGTTCWAGGAAACAACGTTGCCGCTTACATTGTAATTTCCCATGTGCACTGAAAGGTCCTACATATTTATACATTTTTGTCTATGGCTATTGCGAAATGCCTTGCGAAAGCTCTGTGAAAACTTGCAGTTTCCATGTAAACTCGTTTGTGTTGGACACATTTTTGAAAATTGAGCATAAATGTCGATTTATTGTTACAGTGTATCAACTTTTAACAGCTCTGTATATTTTAATGTCAAAACTTCAACAACCTTCCAGCAAATGGAGAATAAAATCTGCTGAAAATACTGTAAAAAATGTACGTTTCTATCTCGACTGGTTTCTACAGAAATTGACTTGAAGTTCGGGACAATTGTTACTCAACAGGATAACTTTATAGATTTTCTCTCTTTCAATAGGGGCCTGAATCGATTGTCTCTGGAATAAGCCTTTTTCTATGCTCTGGAAACTATGCGGAAATGGAGGCTTAAGACGTAGGTACTGAAAATGTTGTGAGAATTACGAGTTTATACCTGAAATGGTTCGGTCTGAATTGATTTTAGGGGCTTTTAACAACTCTGGATATTCTCATAAGAATTTTAATAGGAATCCAATTTGAGTGAAACTAGAGAATATAGAGAAGATGGTCTATTGAAAGCGCTTTGAAACGTTCAAGTTTAAACGGGACTTTGAATTTTTGTTAATCGATTTTAAGTGAGACAGTTTCACTTAACTCTACTTTGGACATCTTCACACACTTCAAAATAGATCTGATTGAACTGAAACTTTGAACAAATGGGGACTCAACTCTACGAAAGATGATCTGAAAATCTCCACTTTCTATGCCGACTGGTTTGACCTGGACGAGTTTTTGAAATTTGACTAAGTGCGGAACAATTGTTACTGAACACGATCACTTTTGAGTAACTCTGTTTTTATTAGTTATCTGATTTGAGTGACTCAGTAAATTGAGGTTCAACTGTACTCTATAATATCTGGAAAGTTGGAGTTTCTACTAGATCTGGTTTGGTCGGGACGAACTTTTGAAAATTGACTTCCAGTCTGGCACAGTTGTTACGTTGTACATAGAAATTGCTGGAAATTGCATGTTTTTCCACCAATTTGGATCGGATCAGTGCCTTCATTGCTAATTATTCGGATGAAAAACGGAAAATTCAACATTTTGCTTCATTTTGTCTTTAGAAATACAAAACAAAAAAACCCGATAGGAAGACCACACCGTCCAAAAAGTCAATATTTCTAGTTATTCAATCGTGAATAATACAACTACAGATTATATTAACAAATAATTTATTTATATAACAATTTTCAAGGCTAGTTAACAACAAGGAATTTTCTATACGAATTTCATTTAAACGGCGGCTTGATTTCGGATGGCTCTCTGAAAACCAAATACATAAGCAGTTGACTAAACGAACTTAATCTATACCTACACACACCAAAGAAGAGGATTTGACCTAACTTTTATTAACAAAAAATGTCTGGCTCCTCTGCAAATGATGGTCAATCAATATCAAGCGTACGATGATCAATCAATAGCAGAGGAGCCAGTATTATTACGGGACACCCTGTATTATATGAGCCTCAAAAGTCTGAGAAGGATTATTGACGAAATTTGTCACTGGATTTTGAACACATTTATACGATATTTACAATGAATCGTCCTTTAAACGTTGAGTTTAATAACATTTAGTTGGATTTTCAGCAATGAACGCAAATGAACGATTTTCCAAATTCCAACAAAGAAATTCGCTCAACATTCATTCGAAATTGTAATCGTTAGGTTTTTACGACTGCTCTATTTACCTTGATAGGTTCCAAGGCATGGGTGGTTTGCAACCCTAAACTTCTCAAAAGAACTATAGGGGTAAATTTCGTATTGTATAGTCGATGCAAAGCCTCAACGGCCAGCATCGTTGGCACGTTGTGTTTTTGTCGCTCCGACTCGTATCCCTTCAGGTAGTCCATGTTACCTGCAAAAGGAATAAGGTTTACCCTCCTAGTTGTTGCAAGGCATTTCAAAGAGGGGTTTTCTTGGAACGACCAATGACTCACACATTACAACAAGAAAATGTATGTGTATACAACATTTACATACATTACAACAAGAAAGTGTATGTTTTATTAGTCTCTAAGCGGAACAGTTGCAATGCATGGATTAAATGTACTACACCATGTTTTTAAACTCAGCTTTTGTTTCTGCAGCCCTTCTCCAGTTGTAGCCTGCAGTAACAAAACTCAAACCTTGTTTGAAAAAAAAATCTTCAAGTAAAACAGAATACAGCATCTTTAAGAATGCTGTACTTAATCCAAGGATACATGATATAATAACTGCACTTAAAACTTGGAAGATCACAACCAAACTGCTTTGTTAGGAAAACTTGCTAAGACGGCTGTCTTGAAAGTTCAGGTTCTCTTGTCCTAGCAGGAAACAAGTACCCAATTTAGACTAGAAAATAATTTATTAAAWTTAAGRACTTACTCACTTAAACATTACTCGTAATGTTTTCMCSTTCACTATCATTATTGTCGAATTTRATCTGATTATATCGCTATTAAAAGTGGTTGGACGAGCCGCCACTGAACAGTTGCGACATTAAACTACTTACTGATTGCACTYGCTGAATAAACTRCATCTCCCAATATTTTGTTCAAACAAGCAACATCGCCAAAACCCAAATTAACCCCTTGGCCCGCTAAGGGATGAATTCTATGGGCCGCGTCCCTGCAAATCGTCTTTTAGCTTAAAAAAAACAGCGCTTAAAGTGCTACTAACCCGACCAGGGCAACACCTTGCCTAATGTACTGGCTAGAGTGGCCAAATCCCAACGGAAAGGCTGCTCTACTTCCAGAGTCGATGTCCTGGACCTTCGGTGGATATGCTCTAACTTGGTCTACTGAGCAGTTGAACATTCGCAAGAAAGTATCAAATGCACTGGTAGCTTGCAGGACCAGGGAAGATCTGCTGAAGGTACCAGACTGAAAGAACTTGTGCAAGTGCTAATCTGACTAAGATACTTCTGAGAGTTTGATCTTACGATAGCTGTGTTCAACTCAGCTACAAAGTCCTGATTCGTTAAACTAAGCAATCGTTTGGCTTCATCGGGAGTCGTGGACCATACTAGGGAACTGAGTTCTTCAGTCAGCTGAAACATTTACATAGTCGAGTCATATTAGTCAAAATAGGGTAACAATCTCGGAACTCGAGCTGTTAACTCGTATAAACCTGTATTTAGCATCCTAAAACTTGTCTCAAAACCTACTTGTGATAGTTGGAATGATTATGACGCTTAAAGTCGCGTCTTTAGCGTCGCTTAAGCGAAGTCACTTGATGTGGCAATAAGCTTGCAGTTCTAGGTCCAAAGAATGAGCGAAAATCAGAAAAACCAAGATAAAGGAGCGCTTCAATTTGCTGACAGAAGATTGTTTTTCCAAAAAATATCGCATATTTTTCAGGACTGGACGTTGAAGCTAAAATTTTCAATTGCGTAATTTGCCATTAGCCAAT